TGTGCTTCCTCTGCTAGGAACTGACAATAATTAGGAGCTTGCCTTGCTCTGTTAGACTTTTGGCGTGCTTCAGAGAGGCTGGAGGAGAGCTGCGTTCCTGAATTAACCCGGCGCTTAATCAGTAGCTGCCCGTGGGGGGCCGTGGGGAGGAGAGGGTGTTGCAGCTGGAGAACAGGTGCCACCGGCAGAAGGGGCACAAACTGCGGGAGAGCCTGAGTCAGCCTTCCTCCCTGCCAGCACAAAGAGTTCATAGTGCCTGATCGGCCGGGGAAACGGCCCTGAGAAACACCCAAAACCTGGAGGCAGAGCGAGTGATCCAACTACCCTGGATCCACAGTACTCGGCGGAGAATTTCCTAAAATCCACGCTTGCTCTAAGCCGTGGCAAGTGGTGTGTGGCTCACCCCTAAAATCTGGTTAAATAGGGGCACTGATTGTGTTTGCAAGTGAGAATTGGGCCTGCGAGGGACTGAGGGCTGGCTGCGACCTGTTGGTCCCCAAATTTTGGGAGCAACTGCTCTAATCTAACATCTGTATACAGATTGTACTGAACGGAGCAGTGACATCATTTTCCCTTCTTGCACAAGCTCAGAGTTTTTTTTTTCCTGGTCCTGAAGTAGAAGAGAGAGTACTAGTTTATTATTATTATTTCTTACAAAATAATCTTCCAGTTGAGCCTGGGCAGTGGAAAGGAAGTCTTTCAAATTCAAATCTGAATGTCCAAAAAGTTTTGATTTAGGACTCAATGCAAATGTAACGGACAGCCTGACTTTTAGTTAATAATTCTTTTCTATCGGTAGCACTTTTCCTCCAAAGTGCCTTACAAACAGCAACGAAAAAGGGTTCCCCGGCCCCTACAATAGAAGGAAGTGTTATCGTCTCCATTTTATAGCGAGCGGCCAGACACAGAGCACTGCAGGGATTTACTCGATGTGCCTTGTGAGTCGGTGTCAGAGCTTGGGACAGAGGCCGGGTAGTGTTGCAACTCCCACATAAACCAGCCCGGTTCCCATCTGGAGGCTGCTGATTTGGGTCCCGCTTCACTCGCTTGTCGAACAGCGAAAGCTGGTGGTGTGCGACGCTTGAGAGGGGCTCAGCTAGAGGCAGCTGGGGCTGATTCTCGCCTTCTGTGGTCGGGGCTGAGATCAGCTTTTTTCAGTTCTCTGCTCTGGCATCTGTCCCGCTGGAGGCTCACCAGGGCTCAAAGAAAATACGGGTTTCGCGAGGCGGTGCCAGTGCCTGCCCTGGGGTGGTGGCAGGAGCACTTGGGGGTGTTTGCAGGCAACCGACGCCACGCGGGAGGCAGCAACCCCTGTGAAAGCATTTCTGAGCGATGCTTTGGGGTGGGCAGCCTCCCTCCCTCAGCCCATGGCCTCAGAGGGGGAAAAAAAAAAAAAAAAAAAAGA